GGTTTAGGGTTTAGGGTTAAAGGGTCGGGTTTCCGGCTTTAGGATGCAAGGCGTAGTAGCGACTCGTGATTTCAACAAGCCACACTTATGACGGTTGGCACTCCACTGGGTGGCAAGTGACAGCTTAAAATGCTAAGCTCTAAACCTGTTACTTAGAGACTTCAGAACCCCTTAATTGAGGAATATACCTTAAATCCTAATAAGATTATGGTTTAAGGTATATTCCTCAATTAAGGGGTTTTGGAGTCTCTAGGTATCCTGTAACGGTCCAGAGTGTACTTAGGAGTTTATGCCGTCCCAGGCCTACAGAGCGCCATGTGTAGGCAGTAGGCACCAAGCAGTTCCCTTAACCGTTGCAACACACTCTGGAAAGGGCGTCCTGCAGCTACACCGCGCGCCGAGGCCAGGAGGGCATCGGAGTAGGAAACCAAGTTGGCCCTCACCTGAAGCGGCCAGGATTTAGAGGATTTAAGGACTGTGGCCGTGCGCTTGCCCAGTTGCCTTTCCACTTTGAGACCCGCGCGATGCCCCTATAAGACCCCAAGTTCGTCAGCCAAGTCCCAGGTGATAGTTTCTGAAAATATGGAAGCACTACAGCGCTCAAATCATACGGGCCTTTATGATTGGAACGTGGCTTTGGGCCATAGTCTAATGAAATTACACCAAGGAACCCAACGAAAAGTACCAGTAACCATTGAAGCTTCTAAGATCAAGCCCTTATACTTTCTATAACCCTAGTAGCCCTCATAGCAACTTGTATGATAACCCTTGCAATAGTAACCCTTATAATCCGCCTAAGCCCTAAACCGTAGATCCTAAAGCCCAAACCCCAAACGTTAACCAAGGCCCAAAACCCTAAAAACCCCTAAACCCTGAAACTCTAAAACCCCAAAAGCCCCTAAACCCTGAAACTCTAAAACCCCAAAAGCCCCTAAAACCCTAAAACCCGAAAACCCTAAAAACCCCTAAAACCCTAAAACCCTTAAAACCCCTAAAACCCTAAAAACCCCTAAACACCCCTAAAACCCTAAAGCTCTAAAACACCCGCCGCTAACCTCGGCTGCGGCCATCTGCTCGAGGAGGCTCAGGGCCTCGAGCCAGCGCCCAGGAAAGACCTGGATTCTGCGGCTTCGGGGTTTAGGGCTTTAGGGCTTTAGGGGTTTAGGCTTGTTTCAGGGTTTAGGGTTTAGGGCTTTAGGGGTTTAGGGTTTAGGGCTTGAGGGGTTTAGGGTTGTTTTAAGGCTTAGGGATTAGGGCTTTAGGGGTTTAGGGTTTAGGGCTTTAGGGGTTTAGGGTTGTTTTAGGGTTTAGGGTTTTAGGGCTTTAGGGGTTTAGGGTTTTAGCAGTTTAGGGTTGTTTTAGGGTTTAGGGTTTAGGACTTTAGGGGTTTAGGGTTGTTTCCCTTCTTCCAACTGCTGGCACAGTAGCCGAAATTCCTTACCGGGAGGAGCCTGTGTGACGGTTGGAGCCACACCACCAGGAAACCAACCCTGAATCAGCTTCTAACAACCCAGCAACACAAACTTCGCAATGATCGAAATCAAAAGCAGCATGACATAGCATGCTGCAGAATACAAAGTTGCCTACCGAACGGGCACATCACCCCAACCATTCTTTCGACCCCTCGTCTTCCTGAAACGTCGGAGGCCAGGGTCTGCCCTGAGAATCGAATCATCCTCTGAAAACTGCAAGAAGTCGTGCTCGTATAACCCCCCAGAAGGTTTTGCTGGTCCGAGGCTTCATCCTCTGGGACAATTCCTTGTTCACGGAGAAACCGGATGACGCAAGCTTTTGCCACATGCTGCTCGCATTTGCGAAGCAGAACGAAGACTGTGGCGCATGATTTCACGACTGCCCTGTCTATACGGGGTATTGGGCTCTGTGGGACACTTGCTCCGGATTTAGGACTCAAAATCCTACGCCCAATGCCCTGCAATCTCAACCATCACACTGAAGCCAAAACCCTCCAAAGTGCAGTAGTCATCCGTAAACCCTAAACCCCTAAATCCTAAACCCTAAACCCCAAACCCCTAAACCCCTAAACCCCTAAACCCCTAAACACCCAGGCCCTAAACCCTAAACCCCTAAACCCCTAAACCCCTAAACGCTGAACCCAGGGCTTCCAAGAAAAAGGTCGGCCCAGACCGAGGCCCTCGCACAAGCACCAATGCAAGCATTGAAGGCAAGCAGGTTGGGTCGAATTCCATGTGCCTGCAGAAAAGTTGCGAATTTGAGATTTACATTTTGCGAATTTGGGATTTAAAGTTTGCGAATTGGGAATTTCAAGTTGCAGAACAACCGCAATACAAGCATATACCCACACCCCCAAGAAGGACCACTCAAGACACAAAACTGATAATTGCGAGCCAGACAGAACCAAGTCAGACACAACCAAGTCTCGAAGCTTCGAATCGGAACATGGGCAGAGGTAGACGGATAGATAGATAGATAGATAGATAGATAGATAGATAGCTAGGTAGGTCGGCAGGTACCTAGGATACATACATGCACACATACATATAGCAAGACTCACAGGCAAGTCCGAAGTGTTCACAGACCCAAAACGACGATAACTGCCCTTAGCCCTACGCATATATGCAGAGAGCTCATAGGTCATAGGTTCGAACCTACTTTGCACGTTCCAAAGTCGAGCTTCGAAACACTCCTCTAGCCATGAATGCTTCAGAGTTCAGGGCCTAGGGCAGCATGGGCAGGTAGACGTCGTATTGACCCGAAGACCCAACCTTAAACCCGCAACCCCCACAACATCACGCAAGCTCTCTAGTCGAGTAGGGCTTACCGGTAAATTGTGGTATTGTATAGATATCCCGAGAAACCCCAAGGAATAAGACTGGTAATTGTTCAGGCTCCCATATTACGAAACCCCGACGGCCTCCATCGAGTGCCAGTGCTGCCAAGCCTGACGCCACCGGCCCGCCGTAGCGCAAACCTGCTACGATAGGGGTCTTAATAATTAGAATGGGGTTTTGGGGTAATTTTACCCTAGGGCTTCCAAGGATCTTATAGTTCGGGCTCCAGACCCCTTAAGGACCCAAGAATAAGGTCCCTGGAAGCCTGGGGTTATACTATAATCATCATAAGGATCCCAAAAAATAATATTGGTAATCATGTAGGCCCCTATAATACCCTAAACCCTAAACCCCTAAGCCCTAAACCCCTAAACCCATATATTACAGGGTTTAAAAAGCCGAGAAAATGGAGCGCTGGGTCCTAAACAGTCAGGCGAGAGTCAGGGTTCCGGGCTTTGGGGTTGTGAGAGGGGTTTAGGGTTTAGGGGTTTAGGGTAGCATGTTTTGACTTTAGGGCTTCATTTTAAGTGCTGAAAGACCGTGTAGGGTTTAAAGTTTATTTATGTGTTCCCGGAATCACTTCAACTGTTTGGTGCGGGAATCGTATGCGATGGTTATATGAGAGGGGATGCAGAGACATGGTATTAATGTTCACGCCGCTGGCATCCTCGGGGCTCTAAGGGAAGAGAGTGCTGAACTTTCAAGCCAGAAGATGGTTTATTAGACAATGTAGGAACCTAAAAAATCAGAATAGGATTTGGGGGGTTCCTCAACATAACTATAGTATGATCTACCCCCAAACCCTATTCGAATTATTAAGGCCCCTACATTAGCTTGGCATGGGAAGTGGGACACATTGGAGTCTTTCCAATCCTCAACATTCACTCGGAAACCCTGTGCTTGAAACCACAGTGCCTCAATGCTGAAAACTTCATCCCCAGACGCCGCGAGTAACGCCTCAACCCTACCCGCGGCAACAAAACCTACATTCTGAAGGTTCCTCCATGTCAGCCCTGGTATGCCGCGGCTTAGATGTAGATTTCCCAGCTCAATCAAGGGAGGGAGTTGTTCAAAGCCCATGCTCCAAAAGAGATAGAAGCTGGTACCACCTTTGGGGGAAGGATCTCCTTATGGGGTTTTGGGTTTTAGGGTTTAGTTCTTTGAACAAGTTTAGAACAACTCCCAATTGATGTCGGCCAGTTTACAGAGAAAGGTTTAGGGTTTGTTGTCATCAGGGCTTGGGGTTAAGGGTTTAGACAGGCTCCGTGATGAGAGGGTAAGGTGCAGGCCAGGGCTCGGTAAGCATGGAGGTGAAACTGATCCTCGGTAGGCATCTCAGGTTTAGAGCTCCGCATCGGGTGGTAAAGTTTTTCAGCCTATGAGGTGTTCATGAGCGCTTCGCTCCATGGCTTTGCCAAGTTCCACATTCCAGAAAGGTCTGAGAGCTTGGCCAGGGCTTCGTGATAATTAGGCCGCACAGGACAAACAAATGCTCATTCTCGAGCCGACATCCAAAACCACACAACCCCAGACCTCGAGACCCTAAACCCCTTTCCTTGCCAGTTAGGAGGCAAAGACGCCGGCCCAAAAGGAAAAAAACACGCGGAACAATCAAATCGAAAAAGGCTCAAAAAAGACCCTTACATCGGATGAAGGCAGCTCCGCACGTGACGTAAATCGTTCAATCCGCGGTGAAAAGGGATGTTGCACCTTACTACACTTCTAATTATACGGGATCTAAATTCTAAAGGGACGTTGTAAAGAAGCAAAACAGGCACCAAAACCCTAAACCCCGAACCCAGGACCCAACATAGGGGTTTATGCTCCAGAGATGATGGGCGCGGCTCTCCAATGTGCTCTGCTAGGCTCAGCTGGGGAAATTCATAACTGCACAATTATATGGGTATCTTGTTGTATCGATATAAATACATATATATATGTTTATATATATATATATATAAGTATATGTCTATGTGTAGATTGATATTGTAGTGGTCCTGACCGCATCGGCTCCGCTGTTCAGAGATGTATGTTCGGGCCCTTGACAAACTCCAGACCCTAACCTTTCCAGATCTGAAGCTGAGGGGTAGTTGCAAGAGGTCGCATAGAGGTCTCGGTTTCATGGGAGTACCTGGCGCTTATGGCCGACGTGCCGCCGAAGGTCACATCCGGAAGGAGCATGCAGCATTGCAGCTCGGAGAGCAGAAGAGCAGCTGCTTCCTTGGTTTCGCAAGTTTAGCTTTGAGGTTGAGGGTGTAGGGAAGACCATGAAGTAGCTGTTAGACTGTTATTTTGCGGCATGTCTGCATGTCTTGCTAGTGAAACAAAGGCATGCTGATGTCCCGGAAGCTCGTCTCACTAGCGTCACATTCACTTGGACTAGAACTGTATCTCATCTCAAAGGCAAATAGGACCCTGCCTGCAGCAAGCATCCACAACCCTAAGTAAAGAGTGGTGACAGTGACCTCGAAAGTCTTTGCACGACGACTTCGGGGAGGAATTCTACCAATGAGGCGTCCCAAATTGAGGGTCCTCCTCTCATGGTCACAGTACTTCGTCGTACCATCGCCTTCAGTCTCGTACCGGGAATATATACCCCCCAAAACCCTTTCTTGCTGTACCGTGCGAGGCTTTTCTGATGAGCTATAAGCCCTAAACCAATCCCCTGTAGTGCCCTTATCGACTCCTTAAGGAACGCTTATACTGCCCTGCTCTCTCGCTCTCTCTCGCTATGGGTCCATGTGCCGAGATAGTAGATACTTAATTAGGTCGTAATGTGGTCAAGATATGGGTAGTGCTCAAAAATAGGGTCCCGTTTTGGGCCCCCAATATATGACCGCACTCTTATTAAAAAAAAAGGACCCTAAAAAGAGACCCTGATTTTTGCTGCACGTTGCGTCTGAGGCCGCGACCTGTCGACTGAAGACAGTACAAGCCGGTTCTGGTGAATTTGAATGATGCAAAGAAAACTAATAAGGCGGAATGCTACTAAAGTCGTGGAATTGCG